TGGTCGGTGCGTAAAAGAACACTGTGGAGGCTCAAGCGCTCAAGACCTGAGTCCACGTGATACAGTCTATGCAAACGCGCCAACCGTAAACGTTCAAACGCTCAAGCTAGCGCTCAAAGACTCTAACCGCTCCACAAAAAAATCTTATTCTTACGAATTCGCGTCTCTGGTGTACGTGTGGCCGTGTAGCCGAAGAGCGCTGTCCCTTCAACCCTGCCCCTGAAACCAACCTTCAGGGAACGCTCGCTTCACCGTCAATGCCCAAGATCGCCGCGCTTTTTGCAACACTTCGACAATCCGGAAACGTCCTCGATTTACTTGGTTTTACAGCTATTATCATAAAACCTTCCGAATATCCTTACTTAATTGAACGGGTCCCCGCCACTGGGGCTGGGGCTGTGAAGTCGCACCTGAGTCGACTTCCTAAAAGCAAATGAGGTCATGCATCCAACAAGGAACAACGTACTCACGGTATCGAATGAGGGCAGCAACTCCAGAGCATGCTGGGGGTGGAACCATTGAAACAAGGCTGCCAACCCACGTAAAGGAATGAGGTCTGACGATATTTTGTCCATGACGGTATCTACAGGTGGTTGCGTTGAAGGAAGCAGAGGCTGATGCTGACTTTGACTGGAGAGATGAGAAGAATGAGACGCGCTGCGCCTTAGAGGCGGCAATTGGGAAGGTTGAGGCGGAGAGCTAGATGAGAGCTTGTTACGGTCGAAGGTACCATAAGCGTTGATTGTAGGGATCGCTGGGTCGGAGGTTTCCAGTGAAAGATCTGGAGAGACGGAACGAGCGCGACGGGGTGGTGATTGAGAATGCATGTGAGTTTTCGTCGTGATACGTTGTGCTTTTCTAAGTACGGGAAGGCCTGAGGTGATGGCGTGTTGGATGTTCTGACCATCAGTGTGGTCATGCTGGGATGGCGGTTCGTCAGGAAACGCGAGGATGGTAAATTGGAGATTACCTTGTGCAGAGGCCTAATAAGATGGTAGAGGCCTTCATAGTAGATTCCAAGCTTGCCTTGACCCGTCGTCAATGGGTAACAAAGGTGTCACATGGCCAAAGAAGCACCTCGAATGCGATGTTTGAGAGAAACTGCATATCTATCAACGGGTAAGAGTGAATATGAAAGCAAGTATAACAAACGCACCCGTCAATAAGGTCCAGCGCCATACGTTTCTCCGCCATGACTTTGTCCATCCCCTGTATCGACTCTCCGGATTGGATCTCTTCGGGGGTTTTGTGAGTGAGACGTGAAGGTACGTGGAACCAGACGAGGCAACCCAGGATTCGGGCATTTCGTATCACCTCTGACCAACATGTCCAGCCCAGCCAATAACGTTCGTACCTACGAAAGATTCAGAAGTGGTTGATGCAGAGGCTTGAGAGGGACTCGTACCCACTCATGGCCCTGTATGAGATGACAGAAACCGATTACGACGCCTACATTTTCAAGATATATGAGCTGTGCTTCCTTGCCTGTTGTTGAAGTCGTGGTTGAGAATCGCAGGTAGAAGACGGGGAACGCTGTTCATCATGTGCCCTTTTTGATATGCCAAGCAATTCATCACGTAACGCTGAGACACTAATTCCCTGACCAAACAATGAACGCCTGAGACACCTGCGCCTCCTTAACCTCACCGTCTGCCGCCAACAGCTGGCGCATGTCAACACCTACCACTCCTCAGTGTCAAACTCGACTATGCTTCAGTCCCGACTAACTTGCTATGTTTCTAGCCATGCCTCATCTTGTCAACTGGGACGTTCGCTGTACGCACACACCATCAATATGCGCTGTTGGCAGCGACGACCCCCCAATCTAATGAGCACCACTATACGCCGGTTCATAAGACAGTTCAGTCTCGGTTCTGCCGTCTTGAAAGATGATGCTTTAGGACCAGGTCTGCCGCTGTTCCATCTTGGGGTCTAGTTGTGCTAAGAAGTTAACGTAGAACGTGGCACGGGAGCTAGCTTCTCCAAAGTCACATATGCTCGGGTCGCTCCTCTGGTAGGACTTGTTCCGGGAAAGGAGCTGAGCGACATTGGGACCTTTGAGATTCACCGTTCTCGGATTCCCACACAGCTTTTCAAGTCGATCGTGACCGACATGGATGTCATGTTAATGCAGTACGGTGCCCCTCCTGAGCATAAAACGGAAGAGGCGACATCGAGGTTCTTTTCTCCGGTGCGAATAATCTAATTCTCTCGCGCCCTCGAAAGTTCACTGCAACCATTAGGTTTTCAACCACCTGGTTAAGCAGTTCTCTTTCATGTTGAGGAATAAACCAGAGACTATGATCAATGGTCACATTGGTACACGGGGTCGTGTCGACTACTACTTCCAAACTTTTGGCGCTGTCGCGGTTCTCTGTATTGAGATGCAGCTCGAGGTGGGAAACGATGATGAACGTTTGGAAGTGATTGCTCAGGTTATAGCTGAATGTGATTGTAAGCCTCGTGTGTCTCTGGTTTACATTTTCTGCTCCTGACCTGGATGTACAGGCTGTGACCTCGAAAACTCCGTCCAGGGATTTTCTCTGCCTATCCACTGCATTTTTACGGATGGCTTGACTTACGAATTCTTCAAGTTCGAAAGAAACCCAAATCCATCTTTTATCCGTGGTTGCTTTCCTGGAGATCCGAACCACCTCCGGCGTGGCCTGAAAGTACCCAACTATTCGTACATGAAGACTACTCTTCCTTTCATTCTCCAGCTTCGTTGCGCATGTGAGACAATTTTTGACATGATGCTGAGTGCATATATTGCTGGCTTAAAGGCGGAAGAAAAGGGGAAGAGGCAAGGTCCTAATTTAGATGGATGGGATCGGGCACTTCAGTTGGCTGACCGTGCATTGGCAGCATTTAGGCAAGCTGAGGTTCAACGCAAGGATGGTGATCTTGATTCTTCGGATGCGACCGTTGATCAAGCACTTCTTGCGCTACAGGAGAGGTATAAATTCTACTCTCATCTACAGTCTGACCAGTCATTTCTTACTCTCTCTCAGTACAGGAGCAGTGCCGACTTTTTACAGATCTGATCTCATAATGAAGGACTGGGACAACGTTGAGGTCAGGAAGGCATGAAATCATACCTTTATTGGCTGTAGTGTCCGTAACAAAAAAGTTACATTTTCAACATAGGTTAACATTATAACATGCCTCGTCTTAAGTTCTCTCTCGCACAGCTTGTCCATACTGGATTCACATCTTGCTCATAATCGATTATCTTCTGGCACCCTGGTGTTACTTAATGGGTACAGGTATGGGTCAGTCGCATCTTTGTCTCGACCACGCCCAACACTCACTCTATTTTTTTTCAGGTGTGCGCCTCCACGGGAAAATCCGATCCAAAAGTCGGGGATGACAACTGGCAAGTTCTTGGGTATTGCAGCAGTCTCCCGCCGAGCAAGCTTGATTTGTGTGTGACGGTGACGGAAGGATTGCAAGAATGTAACAATCCACAGTTCCCTCTTCCTTGCAACACGAGAACGTAACTTCCAATCACTCAATCGTACACAAATTTTTTCAAAACGATCCATGACTTGATCCATCATCGGTCTCTCCTTTGGATTCTCCTTGCACATATCACCGACGAGACATCGCATGAAACCAAATCCTTTCATGGGTTTCGTAAATTCCTCACCCTAAAAGAGCGAAGTTCAACCTCAAGTAACATCAATTATTCAATGGACGTACCTCCAGGAATTGACATTGTATCATGTGTCCTAGACAATAGACATCAACGGCAAATGGATCGCACCGTTGATCCTTAGCAAATTCTGGAATTGACTTATCACCCGCACCCCACCTCGGGTGCTCCAGGCGTTCTTCAAGTGGCACCGACAGGTCGTATTTTTTTGCGTGGCCAAAATCTATGAAATAGTACCTCACAAGCGCCAACGTACGAGTGGTATAGTATGAGGGTGTGAATCAAAAGTCACGCGCTCGCTGTGTCTCCAATGGATGGGGAAGTATCGAATATAGGCCAGTTGGGTCCATTAGGATGTTGTCGTACTTGACATCTCTAAGAAAGTTTGAGCTCGTCATTTCTTCTGAACAGCCAATACTAACCGGTGAGCTACACCATTGGAGTGCATATATTGAAGTCCCTAAATAACATAGAGTTAAGCTTAGAACAGCGAGTTGATAATGACGATACCTCAAAGACTTGATGAAAGAACTCAACAACTTCTCCAATTGTGTTGAACTTTGGCTCTTTCCAACTCTGGAGCACTGAGGGCATCACTAACAACTGCACGTCCTGCTCATCCGGCACGCCAAGCACGGTGGTTGGTATGCAGTGGTTTTTCGAATTGGAAAGGTGAGGCTTAGTCTCTCGTAGACAGACCACGATACAAGTGAATTTTTTATGTGTTGTATGGTTCACGTTGTATGTTGAACGTTATCGAGGATCAAACACCACTCAGTTTGTCCTCGCTCTGCTGCCGCTCTGACGGAGTCTTTGAGGACGCTGAGACTCGAGACTGTCATGGAATCAAGAGCCTTCCGTACAGTGTTGTCGCTTACGATGTTTCCGAAACGGCTGTAGACACGTTTGACATCGATATGTGATTTGGCCGCAAAATGCCATACACCCAAGGCCATCGCAAGATCCCCGTTAGCGAAATGATTCCTTGAGAGTATAAACGAGCTAATAGCGCCGACTTGGACCTGAGAGATAGTCAGTACATCAAACCTCCGATATTGATATAGAAAAACTAACGATTGGATGTGGGCGTCGTTTCTTTACAATGAAAACACCGCCCTTGCGTGAAGCGGCCATGGGCTCTGTCATATACCAGGAAACAGGTGCGCGAACCTTGTATTTCTCGCATAGCGCAGAAATATTGAACTCTCCTAGAGCTTGCCAAGTTACCAATTTGAAGTGATCTGGGCGGCGGCCATTCGTAGAAGCTCGAAGATGATTTTCGCCACCTGGAACGTTTGTACGAGAAAGCTGGTCAATCTCCCGATGAACATGTGTAGCGACGAGGTTGGTTGCCCATGAGAATAAGGAAGGACGAGCGTGAAATATTTCAGCAGGAGATACAGAAGGAGAGAATAGGGCATGACGCTCGGAATAAAGCGGCGAAGAGGGTGAGGGTGCACTGTGTTTATGCCCATAGACGAGGACAATAATGTCGGACATCTTGATCTTGTTCCGTCCTTGGAGAAATCGAGAGACGGCCTTTGCGTGAAAAGAACCTCGAAAATCGGACTCCCCTGAGGCTCGGCAGAAAACAAAAGCGCGATCTCTGCCTCAGCGGTCCCAGAAGATGGGGTGAACTTCTTGAACATGACATGATTTCCGTCATCGGTCCGCATCGCGTCTAGCATATTTAAAAACTGAAAAGTGCATGAGAGAGGGAATTCCAAATGATGAACGACTTTGTACCTTTGCAGTGATACCATCCTCGTAATCATAATATCTCAGACCCTTGTTCCGCACCCAAGAGGCTTTCCAGTCAACCTGATAGCGAGGTCCAAGAAGGTATCCACATTCCTTCAGCCAAGGTTGGTGATCGCGCCAAAATACTTCGTCCTCAAAAGTTGTCCATCCTCCGGGTCTTGGATATTGGTCTCCATCCAGAGGTCCAGAGAGAGTTGGTAGCGGCTTGAGTGTCCAAGGTGAGAAAACAGTTGAATTGCGACAACAACAACGGGACCCACAACCCATCTAAGGCTTCAGGAACCCAGTGTTTTCTAGTTGGTGTCAACAGGTCGTACATTCACAAGAAAAAGAAGAGTCAGCGTGAAAATATTATCTACCTCCTGTTCGTAGAAAACATCTCCAGTTGGTCTCAGTTCATTCGAATTATGAGCGACGGAGGTCGACAACTGAAAGGTTGTGCTTTGGCCCAACCCACATTTGAATTGGAGCACCGCTAATAAGAATGCTTGGAAAATGACTGGGGAGGGTATATCAAATTTATATTCTGTGAGTAGCAGCATCACCGGTTTATAAGGGGGTTAAATCCAAAAAGAAGAGAATGGGTATCATATCCCGGGGTATACACATCAAGATGCCGCTACTGCAACAATCGGCTTCTTGTCCTGCTCAGCCTCAGTCACATGTCTTAAGGATAACGAGCACGTCGGCTGCAGGCGAGTGTCGCTTGGAGGGCCAAGGTAAGCGTTGAGGCAAGGCGAGGTCTTCAGTTGCTTGATATCTGCATGGACGATTGCGTGGCAGAATAAGTCGAGATCAAGGTCGTTCTAAATGTTTGTTAAGTAAGGTGTTCTTCGGTGTCTTGTTCTTGTACTTACATCGTCATAACCTGGCGCAAAATGTTAGATCCGCGAAAATAAAGCAAGAGGGAGCACGCACCGAAAGGTTGCTCAATTTCCTCGCCTGCAGCGAGAAATCCAAGGTAGATGAAGGCGGCGATAGCGACGCCTGGGATGGTGTAATATCCGAACAGGCTGACTAGCTGAAAGGGGAGAAAGAAAAGATAGATCCAAACGGTGCTAATCGGACGACGTCAGGGCGTCATGATACCAAGATGAAGAAGGGGGCGTACTGCCTGTTCGACAAAAGAGATTTGAATCAGTATCGCTGAAGTTGGTGAAGTGATCCCTGAAGTCACCTGATATGAACTGAGTAAACACTGCAAATGAGACTTAGTCAGTAGCAATAGAATGTGCAGACCTACTCACAATGGCAGAGGAGTAGTCAGGATGCGTTCAAGCCCTGCGAAAGTGTTTATGTGCGGAACCAGAAGCGCGGATAAAAGACGAACCACTAAGACTATCTTCCATCGCAGCAACAGCGTTAATCATAGGCCCCATGCTTGAGCCTAATGGGAACCTTCAAACAGGGAAACACTCATCGAACGGATAAACGAACCAGGAACCGTGCCCCTATCTTCCAAGACGCTGAGCCACTCGCTGAGGCATCGCAAGATCTCCAACGGCAAATTCTCTCCGCTACCTGCAACTCTGGGCCGGTGCTTGTTATACAAGCTTGATTGAACGGGTCCCTGCCATCGGCGCTGGGGCTGTGAAGTCGCACCTGGGTCGACCTCCTAAAAGCACATGAGGCCAGGCATCCAACATGGAACAAGAAGGAACGAGGTACTCACGGCATCGGGTGAGGGCAGCAATTCCAGAGTGTGCTGGGGGTGGAACCACTGAAACAGGGCTGCTAACCCAGGTAAAGGAATGAGGTCAGACGATATTTTGTCCATGACCGTATCTGCGGGTGGTTGCGTCGAAGGTAGCAAAGGTTGATGCTGGCTTTGACTAGAGAGATGAGAAGAATGAGACGCGCTGCGCCTTAGAGGCGGCAGATGGGAAGGTTGAGGCGGAGAGCTAGATGTGAGCTTGTTAGGGTCGAAGGTACCATAAGCGTTGATTGTAAGGATCGCTGGGTCGGAGGGTTCCAGTGAAAGATCTGGAGAAACGGAACGGGCGCGACGGGGTGGTGGTTGAGAATGCATGTGGGTTTTCGTCGTGATACGTTGTGCTTTTCGAGGTACGGGCAGGGCCGAGGTCATAGCGTGTTGGATGTTTTGATTATCAGTGTGGTCATGCTGGGATGGCGGTTTGTCAGTAAACGTGAGGATAGTAAATAGGAGATTACCTCGTGGAGAGGCCGAATAAGATGGTAGAGGTCTTCGTAGTAGATTCCAAGCTCACCTTGAGTGTCGTCAATGGGTAATAAAGGTGTCACGCGGTAAAAGAAGTACCTCGAATGTGATGTTTGAGAGAAACCGCATATCTATGAACGGGTTAGAGTGAAAATGAAAGCAAGTATAACAAACCCACCCGTCAATAAGGTCCAGCGCCATACGTTTCTCGGCCATGACTTTGTTCATCTCCTGTATCGAGCGCTTACACTCTCCGGATTGGGTCTCTTCGGGAGTTTTTGGAGTGAGACGCGGAGGTACGTGAAACCAGATGAGACGACCAAGGGTTCGCGCATTTCGAATGACGTCTGACCAATAGGTCCGACCCAGCCAATAACGTTCGTACCCGCTCATGGCCCTGTATGAGATGACGAAACCGATTACGACGCCTACATGTCCTCAGTATGAGCGGTGCCTGTGACAAACAAGACGTACCGAGAACTGTCAGCATGACATTCGGAATCTCCAAATGCATAATTCCTCGCATAGAAATCATGGTGATTGCTGTGAGAAGCGTTAATTTAGTGGAATGGATACAGCTTACGTCGCAACTCACCTGAAGCAAAGAGGGTATGAAGCAGGACCGCTGGCCAAATTCTCCAAACCTGCCAAGTCTCATTAACCATTGGATATCAATGAGAAATCGCGCTCGTTCGTGTACCACAGATCCACGCCCCAAAGTCCAAGCTACCAAGGAATACGCAGGAACGTGCGGAATCGGTTCAAACGCGGCTAAGCTGGAGCCCGAAGCTGGCAAAAGTATGTGATTGTTCGTGCTGGAGCGTCTCTGCGCCATAGTACCAGAACGAGAGCTTTGCGAAAGGAACGACGATGTGAAAGAGAGTGAAAGAAAAAGTGGAATCGGAGCACGTTTGGAGCACGTGTAACAGGGGTTCATCAAAATCAGGGGCCAACCCTAAAATCTTCCGCTAAGCTTCCGCCACAACCGCGGCGTAGCTTTTCAATAGCTTTTCAATGGTGTTCGCTGTCTAACATTGGCGCGGGCTTGCTGCGAGAAACAATTATGTTACAGGTATAATAAAGGGCTATTTTTTTTTCCGACCATCTCTTCCTGGTGCCCATCACCATCCGTCGCCCCCGCTACTATCCACTCAGTATGACCAAGTCATCTTTCTTACTTCGCGTATTAACACCTTCGGCAGAGCACCCATGACTGACAAGAAGCTTGATCCTCCTGCCTATCCATACGGGGTCGAGGTCGAGTGGAATGAGGCACTGCAGCGTCTCGAAAAGCAGATGGTCGTTTATCGACAGGCAAAGATGAGAGGTACCGAAAAAGAGATAGGTGGTGCTGCGGAGGATGTCGCCCTAGCTATGGAGGACGTTGCGACCAAGCATCCGGACCCCAAATTCAAGAAACTATATCGTAGGAAGGCCGATAAAATTCGCAAGTCGACCGGCGATAATCGTGATGCTGTGGTTGAGGACATTGGGAAGGGTTTGTTGGTCCTCCTCACGACGCCGTTCGCCCTCGCTGGAGCTATACTCGGTGGGGTTGGTCAGGTACTTGGTGGGGTGGGGTCCATGTTACGGGAATGGGGAAAAGTCGTCAATAGACCCAGAGAGCTGGTAGGATGAAGTTGCGACTTCGAATTGTCAGCTCTATAAAAACATCATGGGTTTACTTACCCTGTAATCAACTTCTTGTCGACGGCCTCGGCATTACAATCATCTGTGCCATAAATTGGTACTTCGCAAAGATATCCGAAGTAGACCAGGACAAATTCCAGCACAAATATTCTGTAGAACGATCAGTGATAGACTTGCATCAATATCCTAAGGACGTCTACTTCTTATCCCCTAAGTACCGATCGAACTCTAGCCCTCTCTTCCCAAAGGCGCCGGATTAATCTTGGCCTCTTCGTCTACCCCAGCGGAGTGTGGGCGATCCGAGCCAAAGAGTCCGTGTAAGTGTACAGGCGCTGATTTATTCACCGTTGTGATATAAAGTTGGGTGACTCGAAAATCATCGCCAAATGTGCGCACTAGCCTAACCGCGAAAGGTATCAGCTTATGGTACAATGAGGTAGTGAATTAATCGTCCGTACTTGGCGCTGAACGAGACACTCTCTACCCTTTGCGCAGGCCCGACGCGGATCCTAAATTTGAGGTTGCGAGTGACGGTGAAAAACCCCGCGACGATTCCACCTCCTTCCTTCAGTGACGTCAAATGAGATCACTCACGGAATAACTCCATTAAACATCTCGTACCTCTGGAACCTCAAAGACGTCTTTGAAAAGCACTTTCGCGAGGCTCGCGCCCTCCTTGGCTCTGACCAGATAGTCTTTTAGTCCAGGAAGGAGGACAGACTTGTGATTGATCCGGATGTCGAGGCCTGCCTTGTTCGACTCTTCAGAACCTAATTCTGATTCCAATTTCGAGTCCGCCTCTGACGCAAAGTTCTTCGGAAACGTTTTATGAACGAACAATGAGTCAAGATCAAGTCAAGATACTGGGGTTCCTCGTTGGGGTCGTACGTCTCGTAGAGGTACTTGAAGATTTTCTGCACAAAGGACGTTAACACGCCAGGGGTTTCTTCTAGCATCTTATCGGTTTGAAATTTCGCAGTGTAACTTTGAAAGATTCATAACAAGCAGTGTGAGATATTGCAGTGGTACCTCGAGTCGTGATGGCAATAAATTCGTCACGGTCCGTTACGTCACGCTCCCAGCCTTTCCACTCCCATCTTGCGAACCGTGTCAAGAGGTGTCAGATCGGTCGATCTGCTACGTGAATGATGGCAGGGTACCCCCCCACCTACCCCCCCAAATAAGGAAATACGGCAATGCGGCAGCGTTGATGGCATCCTATCATTCTTCCACCATCTCCAGACGCATCGTAGGCAAAACGACGCGTCCTCCTCGACATATCCTACAAAAACATGTCAAGGCTTGATGTATAATATACTTGTATATAGCTTATTTTCAGCATCAAATGTGCCTTCATCTGTTCATAGTTAACTCGTCACATAACTGGGTTTCATTTTTCAGCGAAGAAACCAGCCTCTACTCGAGTGATGCATCTCCTGTGCCCAACCTACATCAAACATGGGTATGACCACACATCCAACCCCCTTTGTTGGCATCAAGCTGGTAGACCCTATAAACTCAGTACATCTGTTGTTGCATTGTTGCAGAGGATCCTTTCTTACTATCACCACATCAACAAAGAGCATGTCCAGCTCAAATGTCCTACAACAATCATGTTTTTTATCGATATCCTTCCTATACCAACACACTGTTATCTTTATTGACTTTCGCTGAACTTTTCTCTTTGTGAATCAGTCGCTGCTGGTGATCCTATTGATGAGCCATCACTTTGCCGCTGACATACCGACCCTCGGAAATTACCGGTGTCAAGCTCGCGTGGCCAGATCACACGTTGCAAATCGACCGATCTGACACCTCTTGAACCGTGTACTAAGCTACGTATACCTTGACGATCTGTTTCTTAAGATGACCCTGGCAGCGAGGATGTGACGGGGACAAACCTCTCAGGCTCCTCCGTTCCAGTGACTGATTCACTCCGCTCAAGTTTTGGAATACTTCCGCTTTCTGGAGTCGGTGAACATCCACCTGTGAATTGTGGCTCTGATATAGCCCGCATCTTCGCTACGCCGAAGGACAATCAACCTGCCTACTCAGTTGCATCAATTATCTGTAGCATTAGTAGCGAAGAATGCTCAACGACGCCTGCAAGAACGCCATCACCTTCTGATGAGCTACTTCACGAAGTGAGTCGTCACCGTCTTCAGGCGTTTAAGGGGGAGGACACAGATGTGATACGGATCAAGTAACCCACTCAAACCTGATTAGGTACTTGTTTTTTACCATTGATTATGGTATTGGCGGGCTGACATTTCCAATACGCCTCAGGCAACTAGATAATATAAGCTAGCATCAGTATGGTAAGTGATTTATTGTATTCACTATTATCCGAAGAGTTATTGTGTCTCCTGCAGAAGTGCTGGAATGTCCAATTATTCTACACTGGATCTGCTCAAACCTCCTGTGTTATCGTCGACCGAGTTCACAGCAAGCAACGGTTGTCAGCTCAATAATATACCAGATTAGAAAGACCACTAATGATATCAGTGATCACTGCCACAGCTCTTGATTATGTTACGCGGCACGTCGAGCCTCCCACGAGTGGCATCAATCATCTATTCCCCTCAAACCCCTCTAAATGTGTCTCTCGTGTGATTTTCCACTCCCTAGGTTCCTTTTTTTGTCTGTGTTGGGAACAGCGGTTCTTTTCGTGCTGATTGATTCCGTAAATCAAGTGCCAGGTTGAATACCTTGGAATCTACACGATGCCCTCGTATAGCGGGACGACGCGTTGATAAGAATCTTCTGCCAACATACGCATACGCCCAAAGTTAAGCACTTTGCCGGTCTCAAGCCAGTCTCATTACCTTCTTCGCAATGCAAACGAGTTGTTCACTTTCTGCCGAAAACCTTAATTCTTAAAATGGTAAAACATCACGTGAGTCCGGCGACCAACATAACCGAGTGTTCGTCGAAATTTTCTTAAGGTCGTGAACTTTCGTCTCCTGCCTTCTCACCACTCCAATGCCACTTCCAAATCATTCTTACTTGCGTACACGTAATTTCAACGATGGTAAATTTTCATACAAATCAATATACGAAGAAATCGCCACAAAACGGCTCAAGCACTTGGAGGATAGGTATGTGGGGAGTGGAAATACTGGTTTCCCATGGCGATAGGGCTTGACGATATGTACTGATACCTATTGTAAATTCCAGGAACTGGGTAACCAGATGGAACCCACATCGGCGCTGGGTGTAGAGGAACTGGCATCGGTGGCTGCAGAAGAGCGGTTGGTGCTGGAAGGAGAGTTGGATGCGCCGTGTGGCTAGTTACGGGCGTGGTCGAAGTTGAAGTTCGCGAGCCAGATCCGCATTCCTTCGCTTTCTTCCCGCTCGCTACCCTCGCTCCATACGCCTGGTCCCCCAGTCGTTTCCGTCCAGTCTTGATTGCTGGCATGACTTTCTTGGTCTCGTTCCAGGTGCGTACATTTGGTGCCACTTGTTGAGAGGCCGGAAGCACACCAGCCTTAGAGAGCGGTCCCGAAATGTTTAAGCATTCGTCGAGGGCGGTGTTGAGGTTTGCGAGAGAAAAACGTGGTTCGTCAATTTCTCTAAGCCTTGCGGCTACTCTTTCAAGTTTCTGAATTGTGTCATTATGACTTCCAGGACCAATCTTCGGGCTTGATCCCTCGAC